GCCCCGGGCCACCGCGACTTCATCAAGAACATGATCACTGGTGCATCCCAGGCCGACGTGGCCCTGATCATGGTGCCCGCAGACGGAAACTTCACCACGGCCATTGCCAAGGGCAACCACAAGGCTGGCGAGATCCAGGGCCAGACCCGTCAGCACTCCCGGCTGATCAACCTGCTCGGCGTGAAGCAGATTTGCATCGGCGTGAACAAGATGGACTGCGACACGGCGGGCTACAAGCAGGCCCGCTACGATGAGGTTGCCAACGAGATGAAGAGCATGCTGGTGAAGGTGGGCTGGAAGAAGGACTTCATTGAGAAGAACACCCCCGTGATGCCGATCTCCGGCTGGATGGGCGACAACTTGCTGAAGAAGTCCGACAACATGGCCTGGTGGAAGGGTCAGGACGTGGAGGTCGGGTCCGAGAAGATCCATGTGGACACCGTCTATGACGTCCTGGACAAGATGTGCCGTGTGCCCGAGCGACCCATCAGCGCCCCGATGAGGATGCCGATCTCCGGCATCTACAAGATCAAGGGTGTCGGTGATGTCCTGGCTGGCCGTGTGGAGCAGGGAGTGGTGAAGCCTGGAGAGGAGGTGGTTTTCCTGCCCACCCACACCGCCTCCAACCCGTGCACAGGCAAGGTCTTCACTGTGGAGATGCACCACAATCGTGTGGACTTCGCCAACCCGGGCGACAACGTCGGCCTCAACATCAAGGGCCTGGACAAGAACAACATGCCCCGTTCTGGTGACGTCATGGTGTACAAGAAGGACACCACCCTTGGCCAGACCAAGGAGTTCGATGCCCAGATCCAGGTCCTGGACATCCCCAACGAGATCAAGGTGGGATACTCCCCCATTGGCTTCGTGCGCTGCGGCCGTGCGGCCTGCCGCGTGTCCTCCCTGAAGTGGAAGATGGGCAAGGAGACCGGCGGCAAGAAGATGGAGGACCCCCACTCCCTGAAGTCCAACGAGATGGCTCAGTGCAGCTTCCAGCCACAGCAGCCTCTGGTGTGCGACACCTTCAAGAACTGCGAGGGTCTGTCCCGGGTTGCCTTCATGGATGGCAACGGTGTGGTGATGCTGGGGAAGGTGGTGAGCTGCGAGCGCAAGGGCGAGGACGACAAGGGTGGCAAGAAGAAGTGAACGTTGGTAGTCGTCATACTCAGATCGCCCGTGAGCCTGTTGCGGTACGGATTTAGGAGAAAGTGCTGGCTCTTCTTGTCACCGCAAGTTCTACAGTACAGGCCTGCACGTCGTGTGCGCAGCATTGGTGGTTGAATGACGTCTTCAGGCCTGGCCAACAGTTCTGCGTTGAAACAGAAGGTTTTGTGAGGTTTCGGATGGTGTGACGCAATCGGTTGCTACTCGCAGTAAGTCTGGTCGTGGCGGTCCCTTGTTAATGTGGTCATGATCCCCTGGCACTCTTATGTTGTCGTCCCCGCTTCTGGTCCACGGCTCGGTCATCAAGGAGGCCGCAAGTCGTCCTTGCCTCCAATATCTGATTGCTCGGACTTCAGCTTGTGTATCGTCTTGGGAAAGGCGTTTCCTGGAGTGGGTGGCGCGGAATGATGCATGTGGGCGATGCGTTTGAGAACAAAAGGCAGCTGGATCAAAGTAGACCCGCAGGGACATAGATGCTTGGGTGGGCTGTGTGTCTTTTGGAGTTGTGGTTTGGCGGTTTGGTGGAGAGTCCGGAAGAAACCCAGATTGCACGTGCTTCCGTTTACATACAAACAAACCCGCCGCTGGGGTTGCATGGCCATGGACATCAAGTAAAAGAGATACGTTCATATGAGTCATTGCATCGAACAAAGCTGGGCACCAACAAACTCTGTCAGGCATGCCACAGGCGGTGTCTGCACCTGCGATGATGAAGACGACCGACAAAGCCGCACTCGTTCCGTGAAAGCCTACAGTTCAGAAAGTTCAAGGTTTTCCTTGGCCGCCAGCTGGACGACACTATCGCTGTCGGCCCCATTCTGCCTTCCATCGCCCTCCAACTCTCTCCAACTCCCGCCGTAGTTGCGGCACTTGGGAGTGCACGTTTCATTTGCCTTGGCCAATGGGGATCCGTATTCACTTGCCCGGGTAAGCTGCCTGCCAGGGCGAAGACCCAATTGCATTGGCGTGGCAACCCTGAACTCCACAGGTGCCGTACCTTTGAACCTGGGATTTGGCGAGCGATAGTAAGGTGGACCGGGGATGGCGAGAGAAGATGCGAGAAGGTTGTGGTGGCCTTGACGAGCGCAAAGGGTTCTGGGGGTTCTCAACTCGGAAGCCTGAGAGCCGTAGGACTTTGCAAAGTACACCCAACATGCGACACTGCAGCTGTCGTTTTCGCCATTGTGGGCACAGCCTCTGACAGAGTTGTCGGCCCTCAGCTTTGTAAGGTATGTGTTGTAGGATGATGTGCTTTGGTCTGGTGTTAGAGCAGATGTCTGTCAGAGCCATGTAGCGCTTTGTTTTGTTGGAAGGCGCCCAATGTAGATGCAACGGGAAGTGCTTGGAATGCGAAGTTGCCAGGGGACCCACAACTTAGGACTCCAAAAAGTCTCGGAGTCATTTCTCAGCATCCCAACCACCCCTTCCTTTTATACCATCGCCCATGCGAAAAGATGCCGTCGCACTGGGTGCAGGAGCCAGTCTCTGCCAGTCTCTGCCAACATCTGCCAACATGATGCATGCCCTCAATCCCAGCAAACATCCGCGCAGTCGGGCGTACTCAGCAGGAATCTCTCCCGACCTGGGTGGAAGATGAAGGCGCTTCCTTGCAAAGGCGGTTTGTCCGCAGAGCAACGTGCGTGCCTGAGCATGCCTACGCGTGCCTGCTCGTGCCTGCATGCCTGTTCGTGCCTGCGTGTGCCTGCGTGTGCCTGAGCATGCCCCCTGTCCTACCCGCCCGATCCCCGGAACCCCCCGCCCAATCCCCGGACCCCTTGAGAAGCATCGAGCAATCGGTGCTCACATTGCTTGACCATGCATGGTCCACGGAACGTGCCGAAAACGCAACGAAGGCAACACATCACACTATCCACATACCTGCGGCGTTTCTCACTGGGAGTTGTTTCCTGAGTGCCCGTGTTTCTGCAACTCAGTGTTTGGTTTCAGCATGTCTGTGTGTCAGAGTCTTCTTCTGTCCACTCGGTCTTGCGTCGTAATGTGGAGACGGATCGCAGCTTGGGCCAGGGGTTCTTGTGATGGACCGTCCAGGCTCGAGCTCGCCACAGGTCCGCCGCATTTTTGTCGCACAGGGTCAGTCTTCGCCATGCCGGCCAACTCGGAGAAGGAGCACCTGTCCATCGTGATTTGCGGCCATGTCGACAGCGGCAAGTCCACCACCACCGGCCGTTTGATCTTCGAGCTTGGTGGGCTGCCCGAGCGTGAGCTGGAGAAGCTGAAGCAGGAAGCGGAGCGTCTGGGCAAGGGGTCATTCGCATTCGCCTTCTTCATGGACAGGCAGAAGGAGGAGCGCGAGCGAGGCGTGACCATCTCCTGCACCACCAAGGAGTTCTTCACCGAGAAGTGGCACTACACCATCATCGATGCCCCGGGCCACCGCGACTTCATCAAGAACATGATCACTGGTGCATCCCAGGCCGACGTGGCCCTGATCATGGTGCCCGCAGACGGAAACTTCACCACGGCCATTGCCAAGGGCAACCACAAGGCTGGCGAGATCCAGGGCCAGACCCGTCAGCACTCCCGGCTGATCAACCTGCTCGGCGTGAAGCAGATTTGCATCGGCGTGAACAAGATGGACTGCGACACGGCGGGCTACAAGCAGGCCCGCTACGATGAGGTTGCCAACGAGATGAAGAGCATGCTGGTGAAGGTGGGCTGGAAGAAGGACTTCATTGAGAAGAACACCCCCGTGATGCCGATCTCCGGCTGGATGGGCGACAACTTGCTGAAGAAGTCCGACAACATGGCCTGGTGGAAGGGTCAGGACGTGGAGGTCGGGTCCGAGAAGATCCATGTGGACACCGTCTATGACGTCCTGGACAAGATGTGCCGTGTGCCCGAGCGACCCATCAGCGCCCCGATGAGGATGCCGATCTCCGGCATCTACAAGATCAAGGGTGTCGGTGATGTCCTGGCTGGCCGTGTGGAGCAGGGAGTGGTGAAGCCTGGAGAGGAGGTGGTTTTCCTGCCCACCCACACCGCCTCCAACCCGTGCACAGGCAAGGTCTTCACTGTGGAGATGCACCACAATCGTGTGGACTTCGCTAACCCGGGCGACAACGTCGGCCTCAACATCAAGGGCCTGGACAAGAACAACATGCCCCGTTCTGGTGACGTCATGGTGTACAAGAAGGACACCACCCTTGGCCAGACCAAGGAGTTCGATGCCCAGATCCAGGTCCTGGACATCCCCAACGAGATCAAGGTGGGATACTCCCCTATTGGCTTCGTGCGCTGCGGCCGTGCGGCCTGCCGCGTGTCCTCCCTGAAGTGGAAGATGGGTAAGGAGACCGGCGGCAAGAAGATGGAGGACCCCCACTCCCTGAAGTCCAACGAGATGGCTCAGTGCAGCTTCCAGCCACAGCAGCCTCTGGTGTGCGACACCTTCAAGAACTGCGAGGGTCTGTCCCGGGTTGCCTTCATGGACGGCAACGGTGTGGTGATGCTGGGGAAGGTGGTGAGCTGCGAGCGCAAGGGCGAGGACGACAAGGGTGGCAAGAAGAAGTGAACGTTGGTAGTCGTCATACTCAGATCGCCCGTGAGCCTTTTGCGGTACAGATTGCGAAGAAACCGTCAGCTCTCCTATAATTCTGGTTTTGTTCAGAAGGCGTTCAACGCGCTTCAATTGTGCTTGGAGCCGCTTGTGTAGCTCTGGCAGATAAGGCATACTACCATCTTTCAAGTAGCTTAAGCTGGAGCTTTCTGGCACTGAAGATTTCATGTTCGATAGTTGCATGAGTTCTTATGTGGGACCGTCCAGGCTCGAGCTCGCCGCAGGTCCGCCGCATTTTTGTCGCACAGGGTCAGTCTTCGCCATGCCGGCCAACTCGGAGAAGGAGCACCTGTCCATCGTGATTTGCGGCCATGTCGACAGCGGCAAGTCCACCACCACCGGCCGCTTGATCTTCGAGCTTGGTGGGCTGCCCGAGCGTGAGCTGGAGAAGCTGAAGCAGGAAGCGGAGCGTCTGGGCAAGGGCTCATTCGCATTCGCCTTCTTCATGGACAGGCAGAAGGAGGAGCGCGAGCGAGGCGTGACCATCTCCTGCACCACCAAGGAGTTCTTCACCGAGAAGTGGCACTACACCATCATCGATGCCCCGGGCCACCGCGACTTCATCAAGAACATGATCACTGGTGCATCCCAGGCCGACGTGGCCCTGATCATGGTGCCCGCAGACGGAAACTTCACCACGGCCATTGCCAAGGGCAACCACAAGGCTGGCGAGATCCAGGGCCAGACCCGTCAGCACTCCCGGCTGATCAACCTGCTCGGCGTGAAACAGATTTGCATCGGCGTGAACAAGATGGACTGCGACACGGCGGGCTACAAGCAGGCCCGCTACGATGAGGTTGCCAACGAGATGAAGAGCATGCTGGTGAAGGTGGGCTGGAAGAAGGACTTCATTGAGAAGAACACCCCCGTGATGCCGATCTCCGGCTGGATGGGCGACAACTTGCTGAAGAAGTCCGACAACATGGCCTGGTGGAAGGGTCAGGACGTGGAGGTCGGGTCCGAGAAGATCCATGTGGACACCGTCTATGACGTCCTGGACAAGATGTGCCGTGTGCCCGAGCGACCCATCAGCGCCCCGATGAGGATGCCGATCTCCGGCATCTACAAGATCAAGGGTGTCGGTGATGTCCTGGCTGGCCGTGTGGAGCAGGGAGTGGTGAAGCCTGGAGAGGAGGTGGTTTTCCTGCCCACCCACACCGCCTCCAACCCGTGCACAGGCAAGGTCTTCACTGTGGAGATGCACCACAATCGTGTGGACTTCGCCAACCCGGGCGACAACGTCGGCCTCAACATCAAGGGCCTGGACAAGAACAACATGCCCCGTTCCGGTGACGTCATGGTGTACAAGAAGGACACCACCCTTGGCCAGACCAAGGAGTTCGATGCCCAGATCCAGGTCCTGGACATCCCCAACGAGATCAAGGTGGGATACTCCCCTATTGGCTTCGTGCGCTGCGGCCGTGCGGCCTGCCGCGTGTCCTCCCTGAAGTGGAAGATGGGTAAGGAGACCGGCGGCAAGAAGATGGAGGACCCCCACTCCTTGAAGTCCAACGAGATGGCTCAGTGCAGCTTCCAGCCACAGCAGCCTCTGGTGTGCGACACCTTCAAGAACTGCGAGGGTCTGTCCCGGGTTGCCTTCATGGATGGCAACGGTGTGGTGATGCTGGGGAAGGTGGTGAGCTGCGAGCGCAAGGGCGAGGACGACAAGGGTGGCAAGAAGAAGTGAACGTTGGTAGTCGTCATACTCAGATCGCCTGCGAGCCTGTTGCGGTACGGATTGCGAAGAAAACACCACCTCACCTATCATATGAGGCTGTTAAGTTCGTCGTGCTTAGTGAGTGTTTTGTGGCTCTGGCCTCTGGCAGATAAGGCATTGTCCTTGCATTTGCTAAAGCTGGAGCTTTCTGGCACTGAAGGTTTCAGGTTCGATGGTTGCAGGGGCGCCTGCGGACGGGATTCTTATGTGGGACCGTCCAGGCTCGAGCTCGCCGCAGGTCCGCCGCATTTTGTCGCACAGGGTCAGTCTTCGCCATGCCGGCCAATTCGGAGAAGGAGCACCTGTCCATCGTGATTTGCGGCCATGTCGACAGCGGCAAGTCCACCACCACCGGCCGCTTGATCTTCGAGCTTGGTGGGCTGCCCGAGCGTGAGCTGGAGAAGCTGAAGCAGGAAGCGGAGCGTCTGGGCAAGGGCTCGTTCGCATTCGCCTTCTTCATGGACAGGCAGAAGGAGGAGCGCGAGCGAGGCGTGACCATCTCCTGCACCACCAAGGAGTTCTTCACCGAGAAGTGGCACTACACCATCATCGATGCCCCGGGCCACCGCGACTTCATCAAGAACATGATCACTGGTGCATCCCAGGCCGACGTGGCCCTGATCATGGTGCCGCAGACAGGAAACTTCAACCACGGCCATTGCCAAGGGCACCACAAGGCTGGCGAGACTCCAGGGCCAGCCCGTCACGCACTCCCGGCCTGATCAAACATGTCCGCGCTGAAGCAGATATTGCATCGGCGTCGCGTGAACAAGGAGGGGGACTGCCGACACGGCGGGCTACAAGCAGGCCGGACATGAGTGTTGCAACGAGGATGAAAGAGCATGCTGGTGAAGGGCGGGATTGGAAGAAGGACTTCATGAGAAGAACACCCCAGTGTGACGATCTCCGGCTGGATGGGCGATACAACCTTTGCTGAATAAGAAGTCCGACAACATGGCCTGGTGGAAGGGTCAGGACGTGGAGGTCGGGTCCGAGAAGATCCATGTGGACACCGTCTATGACGTCCTGGACAAGATGTGCCGTGTGCCCGAGCGACCCATCAGCGCCCCGATGAGGATGCCGATCTCCGGCATCTACAAGATCAAGGGTGTCGGTGATGTCCTGGCTGGCCGTGTGGAGCAGGGAGTGGTGAAGCCTGGAGAGGAGGTGGTTTTCCTGCCCACCCACACCGCCTCCAACCCGTGCACAGGCAAGGTCTTCACTGTGGAGATGCACCACAATCGTGTGGACTTCGCCAACCCGGGCGACAACGTCGGCCTCAACATCAAGGGCCTGGACAAGAACAACATGCCCCGTTCTGGTGACGTCATGGTGTACAAGAAGGACACCACCCTTGGCCAGACCAAGGAGTTCGATGCCCAGATCCAGGTCCTGGACATCCCCAACGAGATCAAGGTGGGATACTCCCCCATTGGCTTCGTGCGCTGCGGCCGTGCGGCCTGCCGCGTGTCCTCCCTGAAGTGGAAGATGGGCAAGGAGACCGGCGGCAAGAAGATGGAGGACCCCCACTCCCTGAAGTCCAACGAGATGGCTCAGTGCAGCTTCCAGCCACAGCAGCCTCTGGTGTGCGACACCTTCAAGAACTGCGAGGGTCTGTCCCGGGTTGCCTTCATGGATGGCAACGGTGTGGTGATGCTGGGGAAGGTGGTGAGCTGCGAGCGCAAGGGCGAGGACGACAAGGGTGGCAAGAAGAAGTGAACGTTGGTAGTCGTCATACTCAGATCGCCCGTGAGCCTGTTGCGGTACGGATTTAGGAGAAAGTGCTGGCTCTTCTTGTCACCGCAAGTTCTACAGTACAGGCCTGCACGTCGTGTGCGCAGCATTGGTGGTTGAATGACGTCTTCAGGCCTGGCCAACAGTTCTGCGTTGAAACAGAAGGTTTTGTGAGGTTTCGGATGGTGTGACGCAATCGGTTGCTACTCGCAGTAAGTCTGGTCGTGGCGGTCCCTTGTTAATGTGGTCATGATCCCCTGGCACTCTTATGTTGTCGTCCCCGCTTCTGGTCCACGGCTCGGTCATCAAGGAGGCCGCAAGTCGTCCTTGCCTCCAATATCTGATTGCTCGGACTTCAGCTTGTGTATCGTCTTGGGAAAGGCGTTTCCTGGAGTGGGTGGCGCGGAATGATGCATGTGGGCGATGCGTTTGAGAACAAAAGGCAGCTGGATCAAAGTAGACCCGCAGGGACATAGATGCTTGGGTGGGCTGTGTGTCTTTTGGAGTTGTGGTTTGGCGGTTTGGTGGAGAGTCCGGAAGAAACCCAGATTGCACGTGCTTCCGTTTACATACAAACAAACCCGCCGCTGGGGTTGCATGGCCATGGACATCAAGTAAAAGAGATACGTTCATATGAGTCATTGCATCGAACAAAGCTGGGCACCAACAAACTCTGTCAGGCATGCCACAGGCGGTGTCTGCACCTGCGATGATGAAGACGACCGACAAAGCCGCACTCGTTCCGTGAAAGCCTACAGTTCAGAAAGTTCAAGGTTTTCCTTGGCCGCCAGCTGGACGACACTATCGCTGTCGGCCCCATTCTGCCTTCCATCGCCCTCCAACTCTCTCCAACTCCCGCCGTAGTTGCGGCACTTGGGAGTGCACGTTTCATTTGCCTTGGCCAATGGGGATCCGTATTCACTTGCCCGGGTAAGCTGCCTGCCAGGGCGAAGACCCAATTGCATTGGCGTGGCAACCCTGAACTCCACAGGTGCCGTACCTTTGAACCTGGGATTTGGCGAGCGATAGTAAGGTGGACCGGGGATGGCGAGAGAAGATGCGAGAAGGTTGTGGTGGCCTTGACGAGCGCAAAGGGTTCTGGGGGTTCTCAACTCGGAAGCCTGAGAGCCGTAGGACTTTGCAAAGTACACCCAACATGCGACACTGCAGCTGTCGTTTTCGCCATTGTGGGCACAGCCTCTGACAGAGTTGTCGGCCCTCAGCTTTGTAAGGTATGTGTTGTAGGATGATGTGCTTTGGTCTGGTGTTAGAGCAGATGTCTGTCAGAGCCATGTAGCGCTTTGTTTTGTTGGAAGGCGCCCAATGTAGATGCAACGGGAAGTGCTTGGAATGCGAAGTTGCCAGGGGACCCACAACTTAGGACTCCAAAAAGTCTCGGAGTCATTTCTCAGCATCCCAACCACCCCTTCCTTTTATACCATCGCCCATGCGAAAAGATGCCGTCGCACTGGGTGCAGGAGCCAGTCTCTGCCAGTCTCTGCCAACATCTGCCAACATGATGCATGCCCTCAATCCCAGCAAACATCCGCGCAGTCGGGCGTACTCAGCAGGAATCTCTCCCGACCTGGGTGGAAGATGAAGGCGCTTCCTTGCAAAGGCGGTTTGTCCGCAGAGCAACGTGCGTGCCTGAGCATGCCTACGCGTGCCTGCTCGTGCCTGCATGCCTGTTCGTGCCTGCGTGTGCCTG